CAATTTGGGCCAGAGGGAACCCCTAGCCATAGCAGGGCAATTTGCAGCAATATGAGATGAGGGCCTTGAGTGTGCAAGAACAGCTGAAGGGTCCTTTGAGGCAGTCAAAAGGAATCAGCAAAAAAGCCACCCCAGACTGACTTTCTGTAAAAAAGAAGGACCCTGAAAGGAACATTGCACAAAATTGCAAAGGATTCTGGGTGGCAGGAAGCCTACAAGAAAGCAAACAGTTTTTTTTTTTTTTTGACGTCCAGGACTCAGATGGCAAAAAAGGGGGCCTTCCAGATAAAAAGTGTCCATTTCCTGGGCTGTGATGAGTTTCTCAGCCACCACTTGTCTATGGCTGCCTCACTGCCACCTGGCCCCTCCCCTGCCCCCCCCTGCCTAGCTTGCAGAGCACCAGGCCTGGCTGGTGCCAGGGATCAGGATGGCAGCTGAAGGAAGGAACATCCCCCAACCTCTGGACACTTCTGTCCATACAGCTAGTGCCAACTGAATCCCCACTGTCAATTTTGCCCAGGGCTCCTATGGAGATATTTGGAAATAGAGGGTTCCAGGAACCTGAAAGTGAAGAGAAAACCCACAAAATGGGAGAAATATTTGCAAATTATATATCTGATAAGCGATTTGTATCTAGAATGTATAAAGAACTCTCACAACTCAACAACAAAAAGACAAGTAACCCAATTTAAAAATCAGGGAAATCAGGAAAGGGAATCAGGTGTGGCAGTGAGCGCCTATAGTCCCAGCTACTCAGGGGACTGAGGTGGGAAGATCACTAGAGCCCAGAGATTGAGGCTGTAGTGCACCATGATAGCTCCTGTGAATAGCCACTGTACTCCATCCAGCCTGGACAACACAGTGAAAGTCCATCTCAAGAAAACATAAAAAAAACACACCAAAAACCACTTTAGTAAAAAAACAAAAAATGGACAAAGGATTTGAACAGACACTTCTCCAAAGAAGATATATAGGTGCCAATAGCACATGAAAAGATGTTCTACATCATTAATCATTAGGAAAATACAAATCAAAACCAGAATGAAGATATCAATTCACACGCAATGGGATGGCTGTAATAAAAAATGGACAATAACAAGTGCTGGTGAGTATACGGAAAAAATGGAACTCTCATACATTGCTGGTGGGAATGTAAAATGGTGCAGCCTCTATGGAAAACATTTGAAATTTACTCAAGAAGTTGAACACAAAGTTATCATATGACCCAGCAATTCTAATCCTAGATACTCAAAAGAACTAAAAACATATATCCATACAAAAGCTTGTACATGAAAGTTGATACTGTGATTTAATAAGAAATATATATTTGGTCTCCTCCCCACACCTCTATGCTAATGAGATGACTGTGGCTGGAGGGCCCCTAAATAACTGCCAGGTGGGGGTTGTTCGCCAGAAGGATTAAGGCATGATTAGGAATAGGGATTTTCAGCCCCACTCCCCAATCTCTGAGGAGGGAAGAGGGGCTGAAAGTTGAAACAATCACCAATGGCCAATGATTTAATCAATTGTGCTGATGTATTGGCGCCTCCATGAAAACCCAAATGGACAAGGTTCATTCAGAGGCCTTCTGGATAGCTTCTGGACAGGGTTCGTTCAGAGGGCTTCTGGATAGCTGAACATGTGGAGATGTCTGCAGGGGTTCACCAAGAGAGGGCATGAAGGCTCCAAGTGCTTTTCCATACACCTCGCCCTATACATCTCTTCCATCTCCTTTTCATCTGCATCCTCTGTCATATTCTTTATAATAAATGGGTAAGTAATGTGTTTCCCTGAATTCTGTGAGCCATCCTAGCAAATTATTCAAACCCAAGCAGGGGGTAATGGGAACTCCCAATTTATAGCTGGTTGATCAGAAGCACAGGTCACAACCTGGGGCTCGCTATTGGCATCTGAAGTAGGGGACAGTCCTATAGGATTGAGCCCTTAACCTAAGGACTCTGACACTATCTCCAGGTGGACAGTGTCAAAACTGAATTGAATTAGAGGACACCCAGCTGGTGTTTGCTGGAGAACTGCTTAGTGTATAAGAATAAACCCTCCACACATCTAGTGTCAGAAGTGTTATGTTAAGTGGTATTTGAAAGCAGGAAAAATGATTTGTTTTTTTCCTATATCTTACAGTACAGTTTATTTTTTCCCAATAGGAAATGTTCATAGAAGCATTATTCGTAATAGCCAAAAAATAGAAACTAAAATGTCCATCACTGATGAATGAATAAATAAATGAAAAAATGTGGTATAGCCACACAATGCAATATTATTTAGCCATAAAAAGAAATGAAATACTGATATATGCTATAATATGGTTGAATCTTGAAAACATTATGCTAACTGAAAGATGTCAGACACAAAATGTCACATATTAGATGATTCTGTTTATATGAAATGTCCAGAATAGGCAAATCCATGGAGAGGAGGAACAGATTCGTGGTTGCCAGGGGCTGCAGAACCACAGAATGGAGAATGACTGCTAACAGTTACAGTTACAAAAACCCTGTAACTTTCACACCTTTTTGGGGAGGGCAAAAATATTCTGGAATTTGAGAGTGGTAATGATTACACAACTCTGTGAGTATACTAAAAACCCAGGGAACTGTATACTTGTAAAGGGTTTTATGGTACGTGAATTATATCTCAATAAAGCTGTTATTTGGATTGAAAATGCCATCATGAATTTAAGGCCTTTTAAGAAAAAGGTAATTGTTCTGTTACTTAGGTGTCTAGGAGCCCTGGGTCCGTTTGCTCTACTTAGTGTGGAACAATATAATATGCATACCTAGTGCCCAAGTTGTTGACTCTAATCTATTTTCTGCTAAGAAGAACCAGATCTCATTGGAGAAACAGCCAAATCTTATAGGGCAGAAAGAGTCAAGCAGAGCCAGGGACATCTCACTGTCAGAAAACAAAGGTGCTTTCATAGCCTCTTCGGGGACAGAATTAAAAAGGACAAGACCACCAGTTAGAAGAAGGGCTCTGGTGGCCACACAATGGACTTCTGAGCAACAAAAAGAACATAACAATTATAACTCACTAGAGAAATTCCAAAATATGGCACCAAGGAAGAAATTTATTATAAAGTCTACTAGGGAAGTTGTATCTACTGATGTGTGCATAATTTCTCATAAAAGGGAAAATGAGAAAAAAAACCATTCAATTAATAAAAGAATATTAAATACTGTGATTTGTTTTACTGACAAAATACTTGCCCCTTATTGAGTAGATTATATAGTTATTGCTGTTAATAGTAATGGTTATTTGTTCTGATTCCTCTTAGAGACAGGAGATTTTATTAGGACAAAAACTTGCTGAGATGATACCCCAAGAATACTGGCATTCAGTAACAGCCTTCTAGGAGGCTTGAAGTTGGAGTCTGTTTAGGAAGCTACCCCTAGGACTCTGCCCTTTGACTCACTTGGAAGCAGCCCTCTGGCATGTACTGGGATCGGTTCATACCAATTATTTAGATCTAGAAAATGGGCCCCCAGCTAAAACAGCAGCAAAACCTTTACTAGAATGACTTTTCACATCCAAATGCCACCTTATTCCAGAGGAGTGTGACATCAGCAGTTGAGTGTCCCCGCAGGACACTTTGAGAGCTCTGATGAGACTGTGACCACAGACAAGCATGCTCTGCTGTCCTGGCCTGTGTCAGGGTCCCCTTCAGTTTTCACACACTTTACCACCAAACAAACTTTAGTCCTATAACTGTGCCTACTGGCAACTTCCTGCCAATTTCATCACTATCACTAGGGGTACCACCCTTGGGGGAGGTCATGCAGTAGACAAGAGCATATCTGTGTCTTGAGTATAAAAAGTAAAGGACTTGGATTTAATATTTGATGAGAAGCCATATGGAATGCTTTAAGCAGTGATGTGACTGGATCTAACTGATGTTTTTAATACCAAACTATACAAATGACCCCTAAAAGTATAGTCTTCTAACTAATGTATTTAAAAAGATCACTCTGGCTGCCCTCAGGAAATGGATCAGTTAGGAGAGCTTGCTGCAAGGTCTAGCTGAGAGGTGATGGGGAAATGATGAAGTCTTCTGAATCCAACAAGATGGTGAACTTGGTTTCTACTGAACCCCTACCACCACAAACATTCAGGAATGTCTGATAAAATACAATAAAAACCATTTTAAAACATAGCCAAGGTCTAAAGAAAAGAAACATGCCAGGCACAATGGTCCACACCTATAATCCCAGCACTTGGGAAGTCCAAAGCAGGAGGATCACTTAAGGCCAGGAGTTCAAGACCAGCCTGGGCACTATAGTGAGATCCCATCCCTACAAAAAATAATAATAAAATTTTTAAAAAAGAAGAAATAAACGGAAACCCTTGGGAGCTAGAATTGAAGAGAGAACATAGAACAGAAGTAGTAAGCACAGGGCTGAGAATGTAAAATGTCAGCCAGCCCCTCGGAGATTTGAACGCATCTTCAGCATAAGCAATTAGGTAGCTGCTATGCCATTCACTAAAATGGAAACACTAGAGGAAGGATTTTGTGGAGCAAGGGCAGGTTCAACCGGTTAGTCTGAGATTCCTAGTACACATACTAGCAGAAACATCAAGTAGGAAGTTGGATATTCAAATCTAGAGTTTAGGTGAGAACAAAGGACTAAAGATATCAATTTAGGCATCATCAGCATACAGGTGATATTTAAAACTACAAATTACTATCTATTCATTCTTTAAGATACGATTTAGGAGTTACATCCTTTGAAGCTATAAATGACCTCATAAGCAGAGTAAAGGGCTCTTGAAGGAACCTGAATCTCTTATACACTCTTTGACTGTTTACTTACCTTCCTCCCTGTCATTCCTGACACCTAGCCCAGTGCACAACCCAGAAGTCAGTATGTTCACTCAGTTATGGCCAAATAATTATTCTAAGGTTCCAAGTGTTGGCCCCTGGCACAGTATCTTGAAAAGAGTGGACACTCAAAAATATTTACTGAATGAATAAATGAGCTAACCTTCTGGGCAGCTAGACTTTGACTGCTTTCATTAAGAGCCAAGGATGTAAAATATTGGGTACACTCATCTAGCTCTGTTTGAGGTAAAGAAGCCAGCAACTGTCGGAGCTCTTCTTCAATACAAGAATCCTGAAATAAAAGAGAAATTCCTCATAAATAAACTCAATAACTAAGTATGACAAAAAAACTACTTGAAGAATCAAAGGCTATATATATATATGTATGTGTATATATATATATATATATCTCCAGTATTTATATATAGAGGTATATAAGCAGAGATAAGTTAGTATTTCAGTCCTGAAAACAGTCACCCAGCCATGTAAATAAACAATCATTTAATTCTGAATTCTATATTTTCAGGTCTGCTACTTCCATCTGAGAGACCCATTGCAAATTGTAACTCTCAATTTCCACCTCAGAGTGACACCTTGACATTCTTGGTATCTTGACTCAAAATGAATTATTATACCCTTTCTAACTAAAGCTATTGCTTTTTAAATCCAGAGCGCATTACTATCTCATTTTTTAATAATTAGTATCTAGTGAAAGGGGCAGCCTTGCAAAATTAACAGGAAAATATCTAATCCTGCAATTTCCTAGTAATAGTTAAAGATCAATTCTATGAGTTCTCTAACAGGCACCCTGCAGGAGTTCTGTTTTACACAACTTCTGAAAAGAGCTGAACAGACTGGAAAAGAGACGTAAATCTTTCTAAGATTGCTCTTAAAGATCCGTTTTTACAGAGTTCCTGCATGAACAGCAATCTCGAGGGCAGAGTCACATCTCCTACGCTAGGCTAATCTCAACTCCTAGGCAAGGTGAAGGGAGCCAACTCTTGGACTTTGACATCCTGCTGCCCTTTCTGAAGAAAAAAAGGAGCAGATGCAGCAGTTTCTCAACTGTAGCCTGCTAATTTATAACATAACTTGTAAAAAGTCTGAATAGCTGGTTTTTGAGGCCAGCATATTCTTCCTTTCTCCACCTCCGTACTGGTCCTTTTTCTGGCCCTATCTCCACCCAGGAAAAAGTAAATTAACTTCTTCCTATCCTAAACTTTATCTGGAAAAATCTTTCTCAAAACTCAAATGCACTGGCTTTCCACACCCTAACATCTAGTATATTCACTTTTCTACTTTTCAAAAGCTGATTGCTAACATAGAATTTTTAAGAGTTTCATATTCTAGTCTAGGAAAGGTACCCAAGAAACATGCTTTCAAATCTGTGGCAGTGGTTCTCATCCAGGGGCTATTGTGCTGCCCAGAAACATTTAGCAATGTCCCCAGGGACATTTTTAGTTGTTATGACTGGGAGATGCTACTGGCAGCTAGGGAGTAGAGGCCAGGGATGCTGCTAAACATCCTACAACGTATAGAACAGCCTCCTACAACAAAGAATTATTTCGCCCAATACGTCAATAGTGTTGAGATTGAGAAAACCCGATCTACAGCAGTCTTAGAAGGGATCAGGCTCATGGATGTTGATATGCTGTGATGATGTGGAGTCATCCAGTGATTTACAAAGACTCCCACTCCCCAGAAGCAGAAAATAATATAAGAGGAACAGCACTGAGGAAGCAAATATTTGTATGAAAACTACAATTTTAGTTTTATATCCTCATTTGCCTGTTCATGAAAAGAAACCAACAACTACTTTTTGAAAGTTCACTTTGCACCCAAAGCAAAGATGATGCTATTTTTCACTCTCGGGATAATTTTATTTACTTACTTCTTTTAAAGATGGCAAAGGAGGTGGGGGGAGAAAAAAGCGAAGATCACTCTCTTTGCTTCGTGCCAAACCAATAAGAACTCTTGGAGCACAGGCTTGAGCAATTATCCTATACTGGTAATCTATCAAAAAAGTATATCTTTTGTTAACACTAATTTAGTTTATACTCATCACAGGGATTAAATGAACGAACTACTTGAAAGCACTCTAATTTTTAAACCATTCTGCAAATTTGTAATCCAAAATTTCCCAAGTATTTTTTCACAACTGCAACTGCACTTACATTATCTATAAGCTATTAATACAATAGATACCCAATATTTCCACAATTCATCTCACAATGTTCCTTAACATATTAATGTATCTGGGAACCAGATCACAGCCTAATGTTTTGGAAAAAATGAAGCTCAAATGTGAAAACTGGTTAAGTCAGAACCCATTTGACTTCTTTTTAAATAATTCCCGCATTCAAAATCTGTTCTGACCACTACTCAAAACACATGAGGTTGTATATCAGTCTACTGGTCTATGGTGATGGCATAGTGTTTTGGTATTCCATGATGTCCATGAATATTTATTAAGAGGTTCCAGATGGTAGTACTTTGATTGAAACATGTCATTCTTTATGTATCAAAAACAAAATTCTATTAAATAGGAACCAGAAGAAAATGCAAGCACACCATTAAGCAATAATTATTAGAATCAAGAGTTTGTCTCAAGAAAATATGTAATCAAAACTTTGCCCTGGTAGAAAGTTATACCAATATGTATATATATATACCCCTCATTTTTGAGGCTACTCCTACAAAATACACCTAAATACCAGGTCAGCAAGTTTTCTATTTTCTTTATCAATAAAGTGTCTTCTTAAAAAAAAATTTATGTTTTTTTGAGACAGAGTCTCACTCTGTTGCCCCAATTAGAGTATGGTGGCATTATCACAGCTCACTGCAACCTCAAATTCCTGGCTCAAGTGATTCTCCTGCCTCAGCCTCCCAAGTAGCTGGGCCTACAGGTGTGTGCCACCAAGCCTGGCTAATGTTTTTTTTTTTTTATTTTTTGTAGAGACAGGGTCTTGCTCTTGCTCAAGACAGTCTTGAACTCTCGGCCTCAAGCAATCCTCCTGCCTAGGCCTCCCAAAGTGCTAGGATTATAGGCATGAGCCATAGTGCCTGACCCTTAAATTTTTTAAAATACTATTTTTTTTTTTTTTTTAAGAGATAGGGTCTAGTTCTGAGGTTGGAATGCAGTGTCATAATCACAGCTCATTGCAGCCTTGAAATCCTGGGCTCAAAGCAATCCTCCTGCCTCAGCTTTCCTAGCTAGGACTACAGGTGCACAATACCACACCCAGCTAATTTTTATATAGACAGAGTTTCACTGTGTTGCCGCCAAGGCTGTTCTTGAACTCCTGGGCTCAAGTGATCCTCCCACCTCAGCCTCCCAAAGTGCTGGGATTACAGGCATGAGCCACCATGCCCAACCAAAATACTTTTTATATATTAAGATTGCCTGAGTTACTTTCTTTCCTTAATCTCATTCCCTTCTCTTTTATATCAGAAATCAAGAGTTAGGTGAGGGTGTGCCACCAGTTGAGTTGGTCTCATTACCGTGCCAGTGGTGGGTCTCTGACATGTCCCGAACAGCCTCTAACCGCTCGGCTTTGTCCTCTGACCTGCTCTTCTTCAGCAGCAGCCACACATCACACTCATGATCTTCTATATCAGCTGTACTAAAAGGTTCTTTGCAAAAACAAAACAAAACAAAAAGATAATGTATACAGTTAAGAAAACATTTCTCTCACTTTTATTTAAAATGGTAATTTACAAAGATCTGAAATTTTCAAAGGATAGATAAATCCATATGTAGGTATTGATAATGACTGATATATTTGTTCTCAGTTTGTTTATATTATTATAGTTATTGTATTATGCATGTGCTTTTGTTTTATATACTCTGTTGTCTTACGCTATGTGCTCATTTTATTTTCTTTTTCCCACGAAAATGTTTTATTTTTGAAAAAGATCAAATATATGGAGAAACTGAACAATGATACACTAACATCCATAAACTTATCACATCTAGATTCAATAACTTATTACTTTGCCATATTTGCTTCATTTATATGCATGAAATCCATTTAAAATAGTTTTCTAAACTATTTGAAAGGAAGTTGCAGACATGGTGACAGTTTACCCTTTCACAGTTCACCTGCATCTCCTAAGGCTGTAGTCCCTTCCATAAGCACACTGCTATTATCATACCCAAGAACATTAACAAAAATCTTCCAAAATCATCTAAAATCCAGTCTAACTCCATATTAAAATTTCCCCAATTTTTCCAAAAAATATCCTTAAAGCTTTTTAAAATCAAGATTTGATAAAGTATCTTAAGTCTCTTTTAATTCTAGAAAGTTTTCCCACCTTTTCTTTTTCATGATGCCAACTTTTTAAAGAGATCAGCTCAGCTCTTTTATAGCTACCTCCAGCAGTTTGCCTGATTATGTTCTCATTATAGGAAGGCATGGAACAGATTTTCCTAACAAATTTAAAATTATGAAACATTCATGAAGAGAACAGGGTATATTTAAACTCATATTTATTTACAGGTATCTAAGGAAGGAAGAAAACTGTCCAAAGCATTAAGCCCTTAAAATTCAATATAGTGCAAGAAAATAATGTTCCTCAATTAATTTTCCATAGCTATAAAAAATACTAGTATAAGAAATGACCAAAAAAAAATAATCTCACATTGATCATCAAATAATTTTCAGATTATTGATAAGGATTCCAAGTTAAATATTTCATACTTACCGGCAAATGGATTCCGTAATATCTTAGCTGATGTTGCCAACACTTTTCTCATTGCTTTGTGAAGTTCTTTTCTTGCCTGGTAGACAATCCCTAAAATTATTACAAACTTAAATAAACCAACTAGTATTCTTAATGCTATGCTCCAATACTTCAAAAAAAAAATGTATAAACTAGCCCGGCGCGGTGGCTCACGCCTGTAATCCTAGCTCTTGGGAGGCTGAGGCGCGCGGATTGCTCAAGGTCAGGAGTTCAAAACCAGCCTGAGCAAGAGCGAGACCCCCTCTCTACTACAAATACAAAGAAATTAATTGGCCAACTGATATATATATAAAAAATTAGCCGGGCATGGTGGCGCATGCCTGTAGTCCCAGCTACTCGGGAGGCTGAGGCAGGAGGATTGCTCGAGCCCAGGAGTTTGAGGCTGCTGTGAGCTAGGCTGACGCCACGGCACTCACTCTAGCCTGGGCAACAAAGCGAGACTCTGTCTCAAAAAAAAAAAAAATGTATAAACTAAACTCTAATTTTTTTTCACAAAAAAATATAAAATAGCATCTTTGTCTTTTTATTGTTACTATCAATGCAACTAAAACCATTACAGGAATACAGAGCTCTGGATTTCAAAATAAGATCAACTCCAAGTCAAGGAAAAAGTAAAAAAAAACAAAGCAAAACAAAAACACTACCTAGGTAAAGCTAACAAAATCCTCATACACAACCTAGAATTAGCAATATCCAGGACAATACCCCTTATTATAAGCCCACCTTAAACTTAAATTTGGAGATACCTTACTAATGAGATTAAGCCTGACTATAGCAAATTATAAACTATAACAATTATTTGTGTAGTTGAAATTGTAAACATTACCATAAAAGCATATTGAAATGCAAGAAGGTGAGATGATAATAAATACCAACAGCACAGAGCAGTGATACAACAGCTCACAGCCAGGGGAGCAGAACAGCTTGCCCCACTCAGGGAACATCCTGTGCTAACAGGAACACTCTGGCTGACAATGTAGGAACAGGCAGCTATAAGTCAAGTGTGGTGACTCAGCAAGCTACCCATATCTTGATGAAAATACATTCCTCTGCTCTACAATTTCATGTTCACCAAGCCACCATCTGGTTGCCAATTACTAATGAGGCTTCCATGTAACCTAAATATTGAGGAGAATGTCCTAACTAGTAGAGACAGGTTTTCTAGCCTTTGTGACAAATAATAATAAATGAACTGGTATTCATATTTATAAATCCATCTCATGAGTTTTGTTTCCATGAATAAATCCCTTAAAGCAGAAATACCTCTGAGCTAAATGACAAAATCATATTTTTGTATTTGCCAAACTGAGGGCTAGCATCTGAACTAATGGCCCCACTAAGGCATGGCATTCCAGGTTCGGACTAAAACAGCAAGCTAGTCTTTACTTCGCTTAGGTCAGGAGAACTGTAAACTTGTGTTAAATGCAGAAGTCCAAAATTTGGTTTTTAATTAATTCTTTAGGAATTTGGTTCTCACAGGGTTTGGTGATTCTTAAACATAGTTGAATCTATCCTAAAATACTATTTTAAGTAGGTTCATTTTTTAAATTCAATAACTAGCTTCCATTTTCTACAAAGACAGGATTACTTTACAATAAACTTACCAGGATTTTCTCTTTCATCTAAAGAAACTGTGGGGAGGTATATATATGACTTCATTTTTTCTCTTTCTATCACTTCAGTATCTAATGTCAAAGATTTCTTCAGCGCCAGAACTTCATATGTAAGAAATAAAGAACCTCTTAAAAAGAAACAAAAAAATTCATCATAAATACATGGTCAAAATGGAACACAAGAACTACTCTCCTTTATTAAGCTTTTCATAATAAACTTTACTTGGAAACATATATACAATAATGTGCATATATTTATACAGTCATGCAACACATTACAACTTTTTGGTCAAGGATGGACTGCATATACAATGGTGGTCTCATAAGATTACAACGGAAATAAAAAATTCCTATCCCCTAGTGTTGTAACAGCCATTGGTGCAGTGCATTACTTGCTTGTTTGTCGTTGATGTCAGTGTAAACAAACCTACTGCACTTCCAGTCATATACAAGTATAGCACAAAAGGAGGATACTGAAAGTTCCCAATACAAAGAAATAACAAATGTTTGTGGTCATGGATATGCTCATTACCCTGATCTGATCGCTGTACATTATATATACTGAAACATAAGTATGTATCCAACAAATATGCACATTATGTTTAAAAAAGTCTAGCACATACAATTATGTACAGTACATAATATGTAATAATAAATAGCTATGTCACTGGTTTATGTATTTACTATACTATATTTCTTATCATTTTAGAGGGTACTTCTACTCAAGAAAAAAAATGTTAACTGCAAAACAGCTTCAGATAGGTCCTTTAGGCAGCATTCCAGACGAAGGCATTGTTATCATAGGAGATGACAGCTCCATGCATTTTATTGCCCCAAAGACCTTCCAGTGCAACAAGATATAGAGGTGGAAGATAGTGACACTGATGATCCTGACCCTGTGTAGGCCTCTAAGCTAATGTGTGTGTTTGTGTCTTAGTTTTTAACAAAAATTTTTAAAAAGTGGGAAAAAAACATTTCTACTGAGTGCAGTGACTTGCACATGTAATCCTAGTTACTCAGGAGGCTCAATAAGGAGGATCTCTTGAGCCTGGAAGTTCAAGGCCAGTCTGGGCAACATAGAGAGACCCTCTTAAAAAAAATTTAGTGTAGCCTAAGTGCAGAGTATTTATAAAGTCTACAGTAGCATACAGTACCTTGGGCCTTCATGTTCACTCACCACTCACTCACTCACTTACCCAGACCAACTTCCAGTTGTGCTAAGTGCCCTATACAGGTGTCCTACTTTTTAAATCTTTTACATTGCTATTTTCACTATACCTTTTCTATGTTTAGATATGTTTATATACATGAATACTTACCACTGTGTTACAGTTGCCTACAGCATTCAGTACAGTCACAGGCTATCCAGGTTTGTAGCCTAGCAGCAACACGCTGTACCACATAGCCTAGATGTGTCGTAGGCTATACCATCTAGGTTTGTGTAAGTACACTCTATGTTTCCTCAATGAAGAAAGCCCCTAACAGTCTCAGAACATACCCCCACCATTAAGTGACACATGACAGTATGTATATATGTATACATATACATTTCAGTTTAATGGGTAATAATAAATAGCTGCATAATTATATCTGGGCAAAGGATAAATGTACATGTACCCTTTTCTGTAATAAAGTTTCTTTGTCTAGATCACAGTTATATTCAAGAATATAATGAAAAGTAATCACATAATTTTAAAAGAATTTTGTCTTTCATGGAAAACATGATAAAAATTCTGAATACATTTACTCCTTTTAGCTGTTCAGATAAATCCCCATGAGAGCAGAGGATTCTCTAGAGCCTTGTCCATATTCTCCTGGTGCTGGCCAGTGTCTGAACTTTCTTTTCTCACCTGCTTGCTTTAGGGTAGAAACCAGAGGTCAGGAGAAAGTGTAGGATATGAATGTTGCCAGCTCTGAATGCAGCCTTATGTCTGAATTTAGGGAGTGTATAAATCAATTTTATTAGGAAAACTGATATATATATATACACATATTTCAGTTTAATGAATAATAATAAATAGCTACATAATCATATCCAGGCTAGAAAGAGAACAGTGCCCCAGAAGCCCACAGTGTGTTCCTCCCTGATCCTGACCCAATCTCTCATTTCTACTCATTTCTGTCATTTTTATTCTGATTTTTTATAATAATGTCTTTACTTTCCTTTTTTTTTTTTTTTTGAGACAGAGTCTCACTCTGTTGCCTGGGCTAGAGTGCCATGGCATCAGCCTAGCTCACAGCAACCTCAAACTCCTGGGGTCAAGCAATCCTGCCTCAGCTTCCTGAGTAGCTGGGACTACAGGCATGTGCCACCATGCCTGGCTAATTTTTTCTATATATTTTCAGTTGTCCAGCTAATTTCTTTCTATTTTTAGTAGAGACGGGGTCTCGATCTTGCTCAGGCTGGTCTTGAACTCCTGAGCTCAAATGATCCACCCACCTCAGCCTCCCAGAGTGCTAGGGTTACAGGCGTGAGCCACCATGCCTTGCCCTTACTTTCCTTTACAGTTTTACCATCTATACATATACATGCATAAAACAAGAGAGCTTAGTTTTGCCTGTTTTTGAACTTCATATGAATGGAATCACATTATATGTATTCTTTTGTCCAGCCTTATGTTTGTGTGATTCATCCATGTTGCTGCCTGCATTTATATTTTCATATGGTAAGTAATTCATCCATTGTATGAATATACCACAACTTATTTATCACTCTACCACAGATGGGCATTTAGGATATTTCTAGTTTGAGTCTATTACAAACAATGCTGTCATACATCTTACATACCTATATTGTGTACATATGTGTATGTTCCCCTAGGATACATATTTAGAAGAATTACATGCTTTGTGACGGTATAAATATTGTTCAACTTTACTAGACAACGTCAAACTGTTTTTCCACAAAGATTAGCTTTTTTTTTATTTATTTATTTTATTTTATTTATTTATTTATTTTTGAGACAGAGTCTCACTTTGTTGCCCAGGCTACAGTGAGTGCCGTGGTGTCAGCCTAGCTCACAGCAACCTCAAACTCATAGGCTCAAGCAATCCTTCTGCCTCAGCCTCCCAAGTAGCTGGGACTACAGGCATGCGCCACCATGCCCGGCTAATTTTTTCTATATATATTACTTGGCCAATTAATTTCTATTTATAGTAGAGACGGGGGTCTCACTCTTGCTCAGGCTGGTTTCGAACTCCTGACCTTGAGCAATCCATCCACCTCGGCCTCCCAGAGTGCTAGGATTGCAGGCATGAGCCATCGTGCTCAGCCAAGATTAGCTTTTTAAATGTTGTTTGTTGTATGTACAACCCAAAATGAAGACTTTTTTTTTCCCTAATCAAATTGATTTACACACTCCAGACACAAAGGCTGCACTCTGCCTGGATTCAGAGCTGGCAACATTCATATCCTACACTTTCTCCTGACCTCTGGTTTCTACCCTAAAGCAAGCAGGTGAGAAAAGAAAGTTCAGACACTGGCCAGCACCAGGAGAATATGGACAAGGCTCTAGAGAATCCTCTGCTCTCATGGGGATTTATCTGAACAGCTAAAAGGAGTAAATGTATTCAGAATTTTTATCATGTTTTCCATGAAAGACAAAATTCTTTTAAAATTATGTGATTACTTTTCATTATATTCCTGAACATAATTGTGATCTAGACAAACTGTATTACAGAAAAGGGAATATGTACATTTATCCGTCAATGAGTCAAAGAGAAAAAAAAAATCATCTAAATATATTTTGCCTTAATTACAATGTCATGGAGAAATGCATGCATTTGGATAAAATGCCAAATGTATTTCCTTTGTCACTTTACTATCTAAGAGTAGATTTTATATTTATATTAGTGAAAAAAGGATTAACAAATGCAACAGAGTAGTACTGGATATACATTTAACATATATATCCCCCCCCAAAATGGAAAAGAGAACAAAAAACAACAACTTGCAGAAAGAGAGTCACTTCATTCTTTAAGAATGTGCCTCTGGAGGAGCATGAAACAGGAGATGTCATCCTGTTTATTTTCTCAGTCAGCAGCAATTTCTTTCGTGAACACTCTATGATGATTAAAGAGATTTTCAAAAATAATTTTGACTATCGTCTATTTTCACCTTTTTTACCCACATTAGAACCTAATACCAGACATGATTTTTAGTGTGCAAAAGCTAATTGAATGCCGGATATGTACATGTTGAATGTTTTCCTTACAGCCACAGTGCCAGGTGAGCAGAATCCCTGCTGCACACTCCGATCTAAAGAAAACATTCTTCAGAGGGTAACGAAACCATATCAAGATAACATTTGAGTGCGAGAGCCAGTGATTAAATCCATCTGTCTAATTCCAAAACCTATACCCTCTTACTATCCCATGCCACCCTTAAATCCCTTCACTCAAGATTTTGAATAGTACTATAATGAAGCCAAATTAATGTCAGTTGACAACTTACCCTAAAAGAAGTGATCCAGTAAATTTTATTATATTTCCTTCAAAAAGAAAGAAAAGAAGTCAATGCGATGAATTTTATTTTTCAAAGTGTGACAGGAAATAGGCAGCAGTGTAAGTCTCTACCTATATCATATGTTATCAGATCAGAAGTTACTGATACTTTTCTATTAATATAGTCAGTGGCTATCAACACATGGTTTCCTATCCTTGGATACAAAAAAAATCAATCAACAAGTGCTGGATTCAAAAATATAACTTATATTTATAGCATTTCATACTTCTCCTTCTCTTCCTCTACCTCCTGTTCTTCCATCCCCTGCCAAATCACTGGAGACCCCAGTCCCCAATCCCCCAGTGATATTACTGTGCTTCCACTGAATGCAATGTCCAGGAAGCTCACTTCCCTTCTGACTCCTTTTAGTTAACAACCAATGAAATAAAGGAATGGGGAGAACCTGCTCCCTATGACTACTAGGACTAGATTAAGGGATTATGTTGTCAAGTAGGGATACAAAACGATGTATCCCAAAGTAATTATAATTGGTGGACAAGATATAGGTTACATTCTACAAGATTTTTATACATTTTTGTTTGGAACTTGGAAAACAATTTTTTAATTTTACTTTTTATTTTATTTTTATTACTTTTTTATTTTATTTTATTTTATTTTTTTATTTTATTTTAATTTTTAGAGACAGGGTCTCTGTCACCCAGGCTGGAGTGCAGTGGTGTGATCATAGCTCACAGCAGCCTTGAATTCTTGAACTCAAGCATTCCTCCTGCCTGAGCCTCCCAAGTAGCTAGGACTAGAAATGCATGCCACTACACTTGTCTTTTTTTTTTTAATTTTTTTTTAGAGATGGGGTGTCGCTACGTTGTCCAGGCTAGTATCAAACTCCTGGACTCAAGTGATCCTCCCACCTCACCCTCCCAAAGGGCTGGGATTACAGGTGTAAGCCACTGTGCCTGGCCAGAAAACATTTTTTAATATTAAAAAAAATCCTACTGGTAGACACTGCTATTAATAATTGCCTATCCAATACACATGCCTCTTAATCCTTACTAACATAACCTGATTAGCACCTAAAATACTCAAATTCCTCGACAACTCTGTAGTTAGGGATAACTGTGCAACACAGTTGTACCCAATCATATATATATATATATATATATATTTTTTTTTTTTTGAGACAGAGTCTCACTCTGTTGCCTAGGCTAGAGTGCCATGGTGTCACCCTAGCTCACAGCAACCTCAAACTCCTGGGCTTAAGCAATCCTCCTGCCTCAGCCTCCCGAGTAGCTGGGACTACAGGCATGCGCCACTATGCCCAGCTAATCTTTTTATATATATATATATATGTAATTTTTAGTTGTCCAGCTAATTTCTTTCTATTTTTTAGTAGAGATGGGGTCTCCCTCTTGCTCAGGCTGGTCTCGAACTCCTGAGCTGAAACGATCCTTCAGCCTCGGCCTCCCAGAGTGCTAGGATTACAGGCGTGAGCCACCATACTTCGCCATGTAGCCAATCAGATTTTACAAATAAAGGAGATAGTACTCAGAGAAAGTAAGTTATTTCATTCTATCACTCAACAATTCTATTTAATTACCTATATGCCATATATAAGAATAAACAACTAGGATATAATGGTAAACAATATAAAACACTACCCTAACAGAGTTTACAGTCTATGAGGGAAGTCAGATAATTAACCAAGGTCTATATTGACTCTATAAAATGAAAAGTGACAGCTCTAACCTGACATAGGGTGTCAAGGACATAGAGAAAGGCTACAGTGTGGGGACTAGATCACAGCCAGATTCCAAGCCCTAGTAGGGCAACAACATCCTCCTTGCTCAGCACTGTATTCCCCAAACCTGATCTGCCTGGCACCTTGTTTTGCTAGAGCATAATAAATATCTCCTGAATGAGAATGCAATTACATTTAAGTATAGAAGGATGAGTATGAAATTTGACAGGAAAAGTAGGAGAGGAAAAAGAATTTCTAAGAAAAAGGACTATGTATGGCTCTGGGCCTACAATTTTTGGATAGACCATTGGTACAGAAAGTTATAAACAAATCTGAGACTTAATCATGAGGTATTAATAAATAAGTTTGTGTGGTCCACCATGGAAACTTAGCCACAATTTTAATCATTGTTTCTATAAGGAAATATTATTGTTTAAACTGTACTCACTGATATCTCTCCAGTATGTGTCTTTTTTTGGCGGGGGAGTAGAGGTTCCTATTCTTCTACAACAGATGACACAATAAGCAGCCAGGGACATTCTGTGTATGTGGAACAATTATAACAAATGTAATTCGGCATCTAATTCAGAACATTTCTTTCAACTATAAGAACATGTTATTATCACAGTGGATTGAATGCCCCAAAGAGTTAGATTTTTCAAGACTAGGAAAAAAATTTTTCAATTAAAAAAAATTATTTCTCCTTAAAAACCTAAAACACATTAGAATATTTTGCTAGTAATTTCATTATTCTTCTTCAAACTGCGTCCAATTGTTAACAGTGATTAACAGGTAACAAGAATATGTAGATCATTAATTAGAATACCAATATAGGCATATGTATATATTATATATGCATATTTATCTCTGATGACTGAACGCCCTGCAGAAATGAGAAGCTCTCCATGGAAGATATACTTAGAATCCATAAAAGTGTTTAGCTTTTCTCTAGCTCCTTCAGGATGGTACCCAACATTTTTTAAAATTTGTTAAATTATCTGAAATTAGGGTGGCCTATATAAACAAAGAAAAAAATTTAAATATTTAAAATTTAATTGTTTATCAAAAAAGAACTGTCATTCAACTAATTCATCAACTGAATAAAGATGATGTAAATATGATAGTCATTCCTAGAACAACTCAGTATTCTAGAACCATAACAGATTGTCTTTGGATAATGAGACTTTTTTTTTTCTTTTTGCTATAAGGGTAAAGAAGGAAGGTACTCATGAGGGACTAATGTGAGAAATGGTCCTTTGGTTCAACATATTAAAAACTTCTAGCAGCTTTATACGGATAAGAGAAATTACTGGTATACATGAGTAAGAAATATCTGTTAGAAATCACACAAAATAAAGAACTTTCAAATTTTTTCTTAATTGTGATTCTAATGCATCAACTGGTGACTAAGCAAACTAATTTAGGCAACAAGTAAACCTGTATAGGTCATTGTCTTGAAGATCATTGTTTCTTATTTTCTTGTTTAGTGGGTTACTGCTGTAAAACACACACAGCAACAAAAATGATACAAAGACTGTGATGAAATAGGTGCTCACAAAACCAGGGCAGTGTTGGTGAACAGATTTATATTTTAGTTACTACATAAAAATACACTAAAAAACACAGAGCAAACACACCTACTGTTTCTTTCAACCCTAACATCTACTACAAAAGCAGTCAAGTGTAAGACATTATGCAAATAACCTTTACAATTACTTCACTGGCCTAAAAACCTTCCTAGTGTTATGAATAACTTAAACTCACCTCCTCCGCAGGCTTCCCTTCCACCGAGTCCTGGGTATAAATCTGAGTATGCTGGAAACTTACTTCCTCTACTTCCTCATCTGGGTCTTGATTATTTCATCAAGGCTTGATTGTGCATCTACTCTCCAGCCTCAACAAATGCTCCGCCCCTTGCTCTTCCCAGAGTGAGCACCGTCTGCTGTCTGTGCTGTCTTCTGAGCCAGCCTCCGCTCCAACTCCTCTCTCTGCTTGCTTTCTCAATACACTAACTACCCCCCTTCTACTATCCTGGAACCCTAATCTGAAAAGTGTGCTTTCTCTACTCCTACACCTGTACGACCAAAACTGGGTGGAGAGAAATAAAAGACAAATTCAGTGTGGGCTCTCAGAAGCAGAGATCCTAGTCAGATCTCTTCTCAGTGCCACAGGGACCATTCTGAACAATCCACACTCTCACCCAAGCCTCCTACCTCCATCCTTCTCAGATCATCTTGTCCCTTAACTCACTCAGACAATGAAGACTGAACTCCCTCAACTTCTGTCCCCATACCAACAAGCAGGGACAAATCCAGGTATTGTGGAATTTAATGTTTATTCAAATTGGGGGGTGGGTGGACCTCTTTAACAAAATGAAACACAAAGTTACAAATACCAAATTAGCTACTGAGTGAAAGTTATCTAAAATGAAAAAAGAAGTCATGATAAGTTACTTAAGTCTTATAAATTTGGTAACTTTCCCCTGAAATTTCATTATCAGAAATGCTTACACAGTAATGCTTCTGGATTACAACCTGGTGTTCCCTCCCTACCTTGAACATTACAACTCCTAGTAATGCCTATCACTCAAAGGGACAAAGGTAAGTAATGCACCCTAAATCTTACATGTCATAATTACGTAGTAAATCTACCTTGGCCTACAGACATATATTTGTCTGCATCACCTTTTCCAGATTCCAAATAGATCTTTAAGTGCATTATTTTTCCCAGTTTCTGAGGAAAAGGTCTCATCTCTTTCTCAAAGGAAAATGTTCCATCTATGTTCTAAATCTCATCTCACTTCCACAGGGACCTTGATTCATCAACTACCTGCCTTTCTCAATCTTCACACTCTTCCCCTTTCATTCAGCTCTTTCTGAAAAAATACTGGATGCCCAATATTTTCCCATCAAAAACAAAAGACAAACTAAAAATAAAACTAACCCATACTCACTTTCCTCCACCACCACCACCTAACTATTCTGAAGCAAATCCAAAATGTCCTACATAACCCGAGTACTTTAGTATATCCTTTTCCTGAAAAAAAGAAAAACCACCATTATACCTCTAAAATAAATATAATTCCTTGATATCGTCAAATATCTGATTAACATTTTCATTATTTCATAAACTTTGTTTTGTTTTGCACTATTGATCTGTTAGAATTAGTATGCAAACAAGGTCCACACATCCTATTTGGTTGACAATGTGCCTCTTTTATAGAGTTGATTACTTCCCTAATTATTGGCCTATTCAAATTCTTCTTTCTTCTTGAACTGGTCCTGGTATCTATTTTTCAAGAAAATGTGCATCTGTTTTTAAAATCATTGTATAAGATTATTCATGCTATTCCTAAGTTTTTTTTATCATTAAAGTTTCATTTTTTTGTTCCTAACATTTGTGCCTCTTATTTTTTATTTCTGAGTTTTCTAAAGGTTCATTAATATAAAAATTATTAATTTTTTCCAAGAATCATCTGTTGATTTTGCTGACATCTCTATATTATTGTTTTGTTTTCTATTTCTGCTCTTAATCATTTTCTTCTTTCTTTGGGTGCATCCTGTCCTTTTCCTAACTTCTTCAATAATGCTTAATATGAGCATTTCTTATTCTTTCACAAATGCACTTAAGACTATAAGTTCCCTCTCTAAATTTCCACTGTGATTTTTCTCTAAACTGTTTAGGAATATGGTTTTTATTAAATAGTTTCCAAACATATGAATTTTTAAAGCTTATCTTTTTATTGTACTACATGGCATAGATTCTTGGGAATTGTGAAGACTTGCTTGGTTACCTGGTTGCAGTCAATATTTATATATATCACAGAAGCTTATACTTTGTTGTGAGCAGAATTATCAAAAAGCTATTATATCAGGCTTTCTGATTGTGTTGTTGAAAGTTTCTACAGCCTTACTAATTTTTCTGTATGATCTGTCAGTATCTGAAAGGTTTTTAAAAATTTCACATTGACTGTATATTTGTCAATTTCCTCTGTAGCTGTCCATTATTTCTTTAGTTATTTATACAACACTTATCTAAATGAGTCCCGATGCACCAGGAACTCTTTTAGGCACTGGAAATTTAGTGATGAACAAGAAAAATATGCCCCCGCTTTTATCTATCTTACTTTCTACTGCAGAACTCTCCAATCAGTGTGCCAAACAAAACCTATTGTTTTTGGTCATGATGTGAAAAGACATGTCATTAGGTACATACAAATTGATTAGAAACTTAGTACTGTGTTCCTTTTATCATCACATACTGTCCTCCTTTAACCCTATTAATGTTTATTGCCTTAAGTTCTATTTCACATATGAATATTTCCTTGCCAGTTTTCTTTTAACAAGTATTTATCATATCTTTTCCCATTATGGTTATAATCCTTTGGTATTAACTTATAATTTTAAATTTTGTCTTTAATAGATGAGTTTAATCAACTTACATGTGCCATACGCTAGATAGATCAAGTTTTCTTTATTATCCTTTAACTGGTTTAAAGTTAAATCATTTGCTTCTATTCCTTTAGTAAGTAACTACATTTTAAACATGCTACATAAGAGTATAAAATTAAACATTATCATTATCCTCCCAAATGAGAATATGAAAATGCTTTAAATCTAATCTGACTTCTCCTATTTTCTTAGGTATTTCTGTCTAGTATTTTAAGTCCATTTTATTTTTGAACAGCCCCCAAAATGTTATTTTTAAAAGCAATCAATCTAAATATTTATCATTTGGCCAATTTCTTTCCTTAGTATTTCTTCTTGCATCTAAACTTTTTTCTGGGTTAAAATCCTTCTTGATAAGGTGTATCCTTTGACAGCTCAATCTTAGCATGTCTAAAAACGTTATGTTTTAGGTATGCTAAAAAATAGCTGGGCTTAGATTCTAGGTTAAGAAGTCAGAGTAACAGGTTTCTTTCTGTTACATTAATGATATGTACATTAATGATATTTTCACTAATATTTCTTGCTGCTCAGGGAAAATCTGCTGTACATCTAATTATTATCTCTTTGTAGGCAAAATAATAGTAAAGAAGTTTAAGAATGTGCTCTGCAGAACCACACTGCCTGGTTTCAAATCCAGTTCCACAAATGACTTGTATTAATCATGTTTTTTATTTTATGAATCTTTGACATCTTAGGGCTGTGCAGATCCAGGTAATGACTTCCCCTTCCAGGGCTAGATAACTCCTAGAGGTAGCAACCAACTTGCCTGTGACCGTGCCTTTCACATGCAAACCAACCAATCTTGAACCCACACCCCAACCACCTTCTTTAACTAACCCTCTCACACCAAGCCAATGTTTCCCTACCCTAAATCACCTCAGAGCCAGGTACTGAACAACTAAGGTCCACCCTTTGACCTGCCAAGATTATTCCAACCATCCAATCCTAAACTTGTTCAGCTTGCCTACTGTGTCTCACCCACTCCTTCCCACAAAAATCACAACAAAGGCTCTGGCCTATGCTTTGCCATTGCTCTTTATGTCTCCTGACTAATCCTGGTACTTCTCCATGTGGCCTAGTGTAGTGTTGTGTGCCCACTCTCCCTTGAGAACGGTGTATAATAAATTCTTCTTTCAAGACAATTTTCTCTATGTCTATCACATTATCGGATGTGGTTAAAATAAAATCCCAGGCACATTTTCAAATACAACTCGACATATGCTCTTGGACTAGTTAAATTAACCTATGTCTCATTTTCCTCATCTATAAAATGGTAATAATGTGACTACTTTAAAAGGTTGTTATAATTACATAAGTTAATGCACGCAAAGCACACAGAATAGTGCCTATTCCAAATTAAGTGTTCAATAAATGCTACTTATTATCAATATAACATTCCATCTGGCAGTTTTAAGATCTCTCTTTGCTTTTGATGTTCTTACAATTCTGTACTTTATGTCTGGGTATGGGTTTGTTTTTTACATATCCCACTGAGGATTTGGTGTGCTCCTTCAATCTTAGAACTCACATTTTTCTTCAATTCTGCAATATTCTGAAAAATTATCACTTTGACCCCCATTCTACCTTTTCCTTCTGGTACTCCTACTATACTTTAGATTTTCTTATTTTACCCTTCAAATCTCAACTTCTTCCATATTTCCTATCTCTTTGATGTGCATTATGGATTGTTTCCCTAAATCTATCTTCCAAATCATCCACCCTCTATCTAGCTGTATTTAAACATGTCATTCAATCCATCCACTGAGTATTTCAATAACTTGTTTTTATTTCTAAAACTTCCATTGGCTCACTTTCACATTTGCCTGCTCTTTTTGCACATAGTTTTTGTCTAAGAATGCAGATTATTAAAAAAAGAATGACCATAAGCTATTCCTTTTCTTACAACCAGGTTCTTTGGTAGTTCCCTCCCATACTGACCTTAGACTGGGCTTATATGTAACTTAGGCCATAGGACAATAGAGACATGATGCCAGCAGAGACTTGAAAAGCGCATGCACATTGAGGCTTCTGTCTTGCTGCTCTTGAGAACCCTGTGACCACCACTGTATAAAGAAGCCTAGCTTAGTCTGCTGGATGACAAATGTCCAATATACCCATTAATGAAGCTAACAAGTACCAACTGATGGCCAGCACCAACTTCCAAGCATGTAATGCTATACCAGACTAACCAGCTTCTAGCTGACCCTACCAACCCCATTTCAATCCTTAGACTTGTAAGCAATAACAAATGGTCAGCCAATAGGCTATGGGATGGTTTGTAAAGCTACAAAAAACTGACGTATTTGGTTTATAAACTTTCCTTTACATTTTAAACACACTTATTTTAAAGTCTCTCTGTTGGAACCACTATTTCTAGTAATTAGGGCTGGCTATCCTTCATGATGGTTTGTTTGAATACTTTGTAATCTTTGATTGAGAGCTCATCTCATCTTCAGTAACAGTATTTCCTATGGGAGTCCTATGCACTCTGGCCTATACTGCAGTTTAAAATTTATCACTGCCAAAGTACCGCAGGTATTACATATTTATGGATTTCTCCATTTGGGTTCCCAGCACTATAAGGACAGTATGAATTCAAACCCCACAAGTGGTACACAATTAAGAGTTCCAATTTCCACTCTTTCATGTTGCTATTAAAAGCAAGTTTTCATGGTGTTTCCTTTGTCTACTGGAAGGAAATTTTCTAGTCCCTGTTTCCTTGATGGTACATTCCTTCAAGATTATCACTTTTAGGCTAAGCTGACTTTAACTGTATGTGCACATTAGGCCCAAGCAATTAAAGTCTCTATCAGCTTCTGATAATTCTGTAACTTGCTTCAAACTTCTCCCTCAGTGCTAGGACTTTCTTCTGAGTTTCCTCTTCTTTTTCTGTTCACAATTCCAAGTTCTTCTGTTACATTTTACCTAGAATTTTCATATGTATATAGGTAGCAAAGGATGCTGCCTGTAAGTAAATTTAACTTTTAAAATGTTAGCATATTATTCTTCTGTTTTAAATCTTTCAATAATTCCCCCTTGTCTAAGACAGTGTTTCTTAAAATTTTGGTCTCTAGAAAATTAGTGGTCCTGAATTGTCTATCAAGAACATTGTAGGATATCTGAATTTTAGAGGAAAAGGTGATAAAACAATTTTGTTCATATACCTTTTCTTTTCACTTTAAAGTATGATTTAGATATGTTAATATTCACACCTTTAAATGTACAGTTCCAAGGGTTTTGACAACACAATCCAATGAAAATATAAAAGTTCTATCAACACATTTCTGTGTCCCTTTGTAGTCAAGTCTCTCCCACACCCAGCTCTGAAAACTACTGATCTGTTTTCTGTTCCTGAGGTTTTGCCTTTACAAGAATGTCCTATGAATGGAACCATACAGTATGTAGCCTATGAGTCTGGCTTCCTTCATATAACCAAGTTGCTGTATCAGTAGTTTGTTCTTTTTATTGATTAGTACAATTCCATTGTATAGATATTAGTTGGCTTATACATTCCCCAGCTGAGGGATATTTAGGTTGTTTCCAGTTTTTGGTGAACATGAATAAAGCAGCTATAAACATTTTCATAGAGATTAAAGTTGTTTACCATCTCAACCACAACCCTGTTAATTTTACAACCTCCTCGTCCTTGACGAATCTTTTGAAGTCAAGGACAAATCTCCTGAGTGTCTTCTTCCAGATCCCATTATACACTCCCTGTGATATCACAAGCCCAAGCAAGGTTCGTGATGAGTCTTAGATGTTGTAATCCTTCCAGAATTGGATCAGTGCCTTCTCAGTTGCAGCAATAGCCTGGACAAAGGTCCTCCTTAGGTAGATCTTGAAAGCTGCTAAAAATCCTTGATCCATTGGTTGGATCAAAGAAGTGGTATTTGGAGGGAGAAACCAACCACTCTGATATTGGAATGAAGATCACCAATAAAAGGAGGAGGTGTGGGAACATTAACAACAATAAGCAAAATCTTGAAAGGTATTATTCTCCAAACAGTCCTACTTGATTTTGTTGGCATACCAATTTGGAAGGGCATCTTGGAACAGAAACTGGGTCATCCATAACCTCTTATTGATCCTGTAGTACAATAGCAGTGTGTGCTTACTGATATGCTTGAAAGTGCTGGAGTTCTCACAGTGCCAGGTCACAAAGGGCTTTAATTCATAACATGCAACACGGCCCCCCCCAAATTATCTTGTCCTTAAAATCCTTGAAAGCTGGCATTAACTTGGCCTCCTTATGAATGAAAGTTATTTTAGGTATCCATTGCCAGAATGGGGAGGTTTCATCCACATTGAAGCTTTGCTCTAGAAAGTAATTTCCCTCCATAATCAGCTTTAGTTTCCAAAAATTCTTTAGCTGCCTACATATCAGCATTCAGACTCACCACTCACTTTCACATTATGTAATGAATGAATTATGATTCTTGAATGGTTTAAACCACCCAGAGACAGCAGTAAGTTCAACACTGTAGTCAGATCCAGCTTTTCTTTGAATATTGCAAACTTTTTGCTTTGGCCATGATCATGGTGCTGAGAGGGATACACTCTGTGTCTGGTCTTCAATCTAGGCCATTAGAAGTTTCTCCATATCTGATATAAGTCCCAAGAATTTTTGTTAGTCTCACTGTCTTCAATGAAGCAGATCCTTTAATAGCTTTCATCACTTTGTTCTTGTTCTTAAAGAGCTTACCTACAGTGGAATGGGACATGTCTGCCTGGTGAGGAATAACCTTCACTAATTTACTACCTTTATAGTCCTTAATCAATTTAATTTCTTTTTCAGGTCAATCACTCAACGTGGCCTCTTTCTGGCAACATTAGCCATGGATTTTGTATGCTTAGGGGCCATGATGAACAAAACAGAGTAAATCAAGCATAAGAGAAATGATGCAAATCAAGAGACATGGTAAACAGGAATTGTAGAAGGCTGCTGCTGGCATAACATGGCTTACTGTTTTATAGCATTTTTATAAGTAGAAGGAATACACTGTGAAACAACAATAATTAGTATAGCAATACATAAACCAGAAACACAATCACTTATTATCAAGTATTATCTACTATACATAATTATATGTGCTATATTCATACAGTTGGAAGCACAGTAGGTTCACAGTATCACCACAAACATGTGAATAATACATTGTGCTACAACATTAGGAAATCTATGACATTACCAGATAATAGGAATTTTTCAGCTCCATTATAATCTTAGGGGACCACTGTGGTATACATGATCTGTCACTGACCATGTGGAGCATGACTGTATACCACACATCTTCTCTGAGTCTGTGACTTGTCATTTTCTTAAAGGTACCTTTTGATGAACAGAAGTTTTAATTTTGATAAAGTTTTTATCAATTTTTTTCTTCTATGGTTATGGCATCATGTACTGAGAAACTGTTGCCTACATAAAATTTACAGATATTCTATGATTTTTGTCTAAAAGATATTTTTGTTTTAGCTTTTACATTTATTTAGGTCTATGATCCATCTCAAGTTAATTTTGTGTATGGGGTGAAAAAGAGGTTGAGGATGATTTTTTTCTATATTCAATAGTTTATTCAATGTTCAATAGTTTCAGTATAACTTGTTGAAACAAGTTTCCTTTCCTCACTGAAGTGACTTCTTTGTTCAAATATCAACTTACTATATAAGTAGGGACCTATTTTTAGACTCTCTATTCCATTGCTCTCCCTATCCTTATATAAATACTACACTGTCTTGATTACTGTAGTTTTACAGTAAGTCTTGAAGCTAGGTAGTATTAAGTTTTCCAGCTTTGTTCTACCTTTTCAAAATGAACTATTCTAAGTCCTTGGCATGTCCACATAATTTTAGAGTCAGCTTGTCAATTTCTATTTAAAAGAACCTTTGAGATCATCATTGTGATTACATTAAATCTGAAACACTGATTTTAAGTAGCAAAAACAAGGTTAAATTCTGTGGAGACTGAGAAGGACACAGAAAGTAAAAAGGTAGAGATCATTACAAAATAAAACAAAATTCAAAAATTCCACTAAATTTAACAAGAAGGGCTGGCTGCGGTGGCTTACACCTGTAATCCCAGCACTTTGGGAGGCCAAGGCAGGAGGACTGCTTGAGGCCAGGAGTTCAAGACCAGCTTGGCCAACATAGTGAGACCCTGATTCTACAAAAAAAAAAAAAAAAAAAAAAAATTTTTTTTTTTTTTTGGAGACAGTCTCGCTTTGTTGCCCAGGCTAGAGTGAGTGCCGTGGCGTCAGCCTAGCTCACAGCAACCTCAAACTCCTGGGCTCAAGCAATCCTTCTGCCTCAGCCTCCTGGTAGCTGGGACTACAGGCATGCACCTAAACCATGCTGGCTATTTCTTCTATAATTAGTGGCCAATTAAATTTCTTTCTATTATAGTAGAGACGGGGTCTGTGTGCCTCAGGTGGTTTCAACTCCTGACCCTTGAGCAATCCTCCCGCCTGCGGCCCTCTCAGAGTGCTAAGATAAACAAGCCTGAGCCACCGCGCCCGGGCCTTCCTACCAAAAAATTTTTAAAAAAATGAGTCCCAGGCATGGTGCACACTCCTGTAGTCCCAGCCACCTTTGGAGGCCTAGGCCAAGAGGATTGCTCAAGCCCAGGATTTTGAGACTCGCAGAGAACTATGATTGACCACTGCACTCCTAGCAGGTGACAAAGTGAGACCCCTGTCTCTAAAAAAAAAAAGAAATTTAAAAAAATTTTAACCAACAGGGAGGCCACTAGGTCTTCATAATGGTAGCTTCATTGTCCTGGGTGAAGAAGAAACCCACACTGAAAATTAAACATCATTTCTCCCTGGGATCTAGCCTATTAATAAAAAACAAAACAAAACAAAAAACATCATTTCAGCCTTTCATTCTTATTAACAAAACCTGAATTGTAGCTGGGCGCACAGATAAGTGAATAAAGACATCATCTTTCTTTCCTTATACTTAAGTTTGCTCACTGACTAAGAACTGGTTAATGGGAATATGAATGGATGTGTCATGCGCAACTTCTGAAAAGTGTCCTTAAAAAGTGAGTCTTTCTTCATCCTTCTTTCCTCCCTCTTACTAGAATGAGCAAGTGAGAGTTCAAATTAAAGCAGCCACCTTAACCATAAGGCATCCTGCTAAGGATGGCAGAGCAGCAAGACAGAAGAATTCGAGCCTGATGTTCATGGCGCTGCTTCCATACCAGCCATGGACTGCCTACTTATGTAATCACATGCATAATTAAGCTATTATTATATCTTCTGTGTAATACAGCGCTGAATTTAATTTTAACACACCACAGTTTTTAGATATCTATAGCCAGCAATCCATAAAGTACCTCTAGACACAACCTTTCCAGACTCATGTATCCAACTATTGAACAATTCCACCTTTGATGTCAAATAGGCCTTTCAAACTTAGCTGTCCAAAACAAAATTCTTTATTTTCTTCTCCCCAAACTATTCCTCATCTTCTCCATCACCATCAGCCAAATGGTAAATGGTCTTTGATTGTAACTGATCTACCTTATAGCTCAAGCAAAAAACTCAGGTGTTGCCCTTAAGTCCTTGTTTTCCCCTCACCCTATATCCAAACCATGCAAAATTTGTTCTCTGCTATCAAAACACATTCCAGGCAGGGCGCAGTGGCTCATCCCTGTAATCCTAGCACTCTGGTAGGCCCAGGCGGGCGGATTGCTCGAGGTCAGGAGTTCGAAACCAGCCTGAGCAAGACCCTGTCTCTACTATAAATAGAAAGAAATTAATTGGCCAACTAAAAATATATATAGAAAAAATTAGCCAGGCATGGTGGCGTATGCCTGTAGTCCCACCTACTCGGGAGGCTGAGGCAGTAGGATTGCTTGAGCCCAGGAGTTTGAGGTTGCTGTGAGCTAGGCTGACGCCATGGCACTCACTTTAGCCTGGGCAACAAAACGAGACTCTGTCTCAAAAACAAAACACATTCCAAATCCATCCACTTTTCTCCATCTTCACTGCCACCACTATGTCCTGTTCAAGCCACCATCATTTTTAGTTTGGAGTAATGAGATAACATCCTGAATGGTGTTTTGTAACTTAAGAATTCCTTCCCAAGAGATAAAAAAGTTCTGGAGATGGAAGGTAGTGATGGTTGCCTAATAATGTGAATGTCACTGAACACCAACCTCAAAATGGTTAAAACGGTAAATCTTATGTGTATTTTACCATAACAAAGCAAACAAAAAAGGAAATCTTTCCTAGAGAAAAGTCTCCTGTATTTTTTTCGATCTTCCAGATGTGTCTTTCATGTTTAGGTCTTTAATCTATCAGGAAATTACTGTTGTGAATACTGTGAAGACTCTGGAACATTTTAGGTACATAAAAATGTTTGGTGAATAAACGGACGTTTTAAATCTGGATGATTTGGAGAAACACAGGAAGTAAAGCAGGTTTTGAACTGAAGATGAGCGAGGTAAACCAGTTCAGTTTGAGAGGTGGCATTTAGCCTACTCATAGGTCATTAATGCACAGGCAACACCTGGAGCTCAAAAGTGGCATTCCAGGGGAAGAAACTGATAAGATGGTCAAGGAGAAGAATGTATGCCAAGATGAAAAAGAGTGAAGAAGAGACACTTGGGAAGAACTATATTTGGAGGCAAATTTTAAAGAGAGAGTGCAACAATATTTCCACCTGGTGGAAAAGATTTCAGGGATAGAGAGAGGAAAATAAATAGAAGAAGTGGGTGCCTAAGCGATCACATGAACTTAATTAGGGAAGCACAATTTAACCTAAGGAACAGAAAGCAAGAACCTCGTATCTCAACTAGTTAAAATAATTACAGTGTGTGCCCCGAATTTGGGACAGGGATTAACTTTAGAACCTTCTGGAATTTCTCACTTTAAAATGACCGTTACTGGGTTTAGAGACCTATTAATTAGCATTCAATCTAGTCCATCTCTCGGGCCAGAGAGGGAGCAAGAAGCGGTGGTGTGGGAGGCTCAAATTTGACTGTGGCTGTTCCCTACTCCTTGGCACTATCTTTGGCGACTACCAGCCCGAGGTGATGTACCGGTTGGTGCTCTCCTCAGGGCCTCGACAGCAACCAGAGAAGAGCAGCGACCGTGAAAGAAGAGTCAGGCTCGCGAGCACCACAGAGAGGCCCTCACGCCCCGCGGCGGGTCAGGGGGTCGCCCGGGGGCCGCGCGCCCTCAGCCGCCCCAGCCGTGCCCAGGCCCCTCTCCCCACTCCCCGCCGCGCCCAGCTGCGCCGACCTCCTCTTCCGCCCCCACGAGCCCGGCCTCCCCTTCCTACCTGCCGGCTCGCGGACTCGGTCCGCCCCTAACCGCTCGGCGGGGACCCAGTCGGCTGGGGCGCCCACCCCTTTCCGCGGCTCCCAGCCCGCGCCCTCCACTGGGCTGCGGGCGGCACGTGACCCCGCCCCCTCGGGCCGGCCCACGCTCGCCTCCCGCCGGCACGCTCCACCCACGAGTGCGTCCCTGGCGCGATGACGTAAAACGCAGGCGCATTCTGTCTGCGACGCGGAGGCGCAGCTGGGTCTGTGGGCGGAGGTGCGTGGCGAGCTTTTGAGCGACTGAGGAAAGAGGGGTGCAGGGAGGACGGAAGGGTCCGGAGAAAAGATGGGAGGAGGAGGGAAGGCCTAGGAGCCTGTCCTTTGGGTGCTGGGTTACCGGACAGTGTCGCGCACCTTTCTGGGCCCTTCCTAGCGGGGATGGGCAGCTGTCCGCACCAATTCAATTGTGGGTTTCCCGTGGGGGGCGACGACGCCCAGGTGTAGACGTGAAAGGGTTAAGTTGGCTGACGCTGGGTGGTTTTCCTGCGAGCAGAGAGCCTTGGGGGATGTGGTTCATTTAGTGAAGGAACACAAGATCTGGAGATCTGGCTTGTACTTTCTTTCCCCCCCTTGACTGGGAGCTGTGGCTTAATCTCTTCAACCGGTCTCCTCATCTGTGAAATGAGGCGGTTGGCCTCAGTATGTAATTTTTGAGGCCTCTTTCAGAACTACCACTATGTGATTCCTGCCTCGCAGGAACTTACCTTTTATCATTCTCCTGAGTGGGACAAGAGAGCCTTTGAATAACGGACGTGTTTTACACCTGGGTTGGGCACACTGCTGTGGGGTTATTCTGCTTGCTTTCATTAGGATTAATTGTTCATGGGTAGAATTTGTTTGCAAGTAAGATTTTTTTCTCATTGTTGATATTCTAAGTAGATTCATTTTAATTATGTTAAAAGATCAGAATATGTTTTTAATGTTCCGTCATTCATAGATTTAACTGTATTAACGTTGATATTTAATATTTTGCCTCATTTCAGAGGTAAATCCCCAAAGCATATTGAAGTTGATCTTTTGAATTGTATGTCATCTTATCTTTTTTATTAGCATTCTTGAGGTCATCTGCACATTCTGATTGGGAAAAGATGGTCAACGTCTTGAAAGGAGTGCTTATAGAATGGTTAGTGGTTTTGAATCTTAATGAGTTTTCATTTTACATGTTGAATCTTGATTTATATGTATAGCTTTTCTAAAGTCCTATCCATTTATTTGTTTTATTTTGAAGACCTGCATGAAATCAAGTGTTTCAGTTTTGTCAACTTCATTTTCTTATTTCGGACAAATAAGAAACATGTGGGACAGATTTTATTGCTAAGTTTCTTCCTGGTGCTAGATTTCAGTCTCTTTATTGAATTGATGCAATTGGCATTATGATCAGAGCCAGCATTATTTGTTAGATTTAGTCCTCTTTAGGGAAACAGTGCTTGTATTCTCAAACCATCAGGATTTAACTAGAATTTTAGAACCTGCAAGAGTTTAGGAATTTGCTTAACTCTTCACCATTACAAACAGTAGACTTTTAAAAAAAGAAGGAAAAACAAGAGAGCCAGTTGAGGAAGATTTCTTGAACTCCTTTGCACATATTCCAGAGGAGAAGCTAGAAACCGTAATGGGCAGAGTAATCCAACATATAGGACTTATATGACCCAGTTTTAAAACCTGAACTGCTGGATCAATCTTGCCTAGTCTTCACTTGCTAATGTTTGCACCATCAGTAATTCTGCCTTGTGGTTTCCCTGTCTTCTGGACATTACATTTAAAAACCTTACTTCTTTCTCTTAGGCTTGCACTAACAGTTCTAAAATGAAGCCATGTCTATATGTTGTTAACACCTGAGGCAGGGAGGAATGAGATTTTTGAGTAATAGTTGAGAACTTTAAAAATTATTCTCAAAAGTCTACATGCTCAAATTTAATTGCTCAAGTCTCTATGGTATGATTTGGCAACAAGGTGTCTTATAAATGTGTGTTTATTTCTACAGTGATCCTGCCATGAAGCAGTTTCTGCTGTATTTGGATGAGTCCAATGCCCTAGGGAAGAAGTTCATCATTCAAGACATTGACGAAACTCATGTCTTTGTAATAGCAGAGTTGGTTAATGTCCTCCAGGAGCGAGTGGGTGAATTAATGGACCAAAATGCTTTTTCTCTTACTCAGAAGTGAAAATACAAGATATTAACCACCTAGGAATTATAAGCAGCAAATGTGAAAGACTTACTTGCTTAGGGGCCTGCCGTTGGAAAGACCGAGGGATCATTTGCCCAAAAAAAAAGCCCCCTGAACTGATTTTTTGTACCCTATAATTAAAAAAAAAAAACAAAAAACCTTTAACCATTGGCTGTAATTTGATTTATTATCCTTTATTAAAATATAAATGTTAATATTTTTACAGCCTTTTTAACACCAATTTAATATATTAAGAATATAGTGGGGGTGCTTTTAAATTATCAGTGTAATGTAGCTATTTATTTTGCTTGTTCCTGTTCATGATTGTGGGTTTTTGTTGTGTGGATGTAGTTGCTTTTTTTTCAGATAGAAACTTCATAAATTTACTGTTTAGAAAAATATGCTGAGGTGGGAACTTTGGTAATATTTGTCTCACAAATATCTACATACCGGGCAGCTCTCTTAGTGAAGAAGATGTAATTTCATGTTACTACATGTAAACTGCAGTTTGTATTTCTCTGAAAATATAATGCTTTTAAAGTGCAGAGGGTTAGAAACAACCAAATGAGAAAGGCACATGCTGCTTTGCATCTTTAGTTTTTCCTTGTTCGAATTTTGTTGGTGACATCTTCCCATCAGGGTAAGCGTTCTTTTATTAAGAAATCAGTTTTGTGCCTTTTTCCCTATGAGAATCCCTATTAAATTTATTTAAGAAAGAAAGATAGGAATAGACAGAAGCAAAGTCAGCCTGTGGTGGGAAGCAACATATTAGAGTAAAATACATTGCATATAGTTCTATGATTGATCGGAGGTAGAAACTGTAACACTGATAGGGGTTTTGCTTCCTCTCCTGAAGATAGTGTCATTGGGATGGGTTCCTGGGATGGGAATTTTCAAAGAGAAAAGAACTTTCATGATGTTACCAAACCCAATTTACCCACTTCCTTATGATATGTTTATTCAAAGCACCTGTGTTCCATTTTCACTCATACGTGCACTACTGAATCTGGGAATTTCCACAGTAAGATGTATGTATCATAATTCCCATCTGTATAACTCAATCCACACAATTTCAATTCCCACATACCAACACAAACAATTTTAATGTGTTACTGGTACTTGTCGTGCTAAAACTTGTTAAATAAAAGATAGGTTTCTTCAGAATTTCCAGCTGTGCTGAAATGTTATTGCATGTTACATTTCAAACAGATCTAAATCAATTTTTAGTTTGCCTCAGCATTTGTCACCTGATACCTTTTATATTAACATGAAACTTAGAGGAGATTTTTCTTAGAATCCCAACATTGAAAGGGTATTTAGGAGAAAACTATATTGAACAGTGATTGCAAGGAGTATTAAGTGAAGGAAAATCTTTCTTTCGCTCTTATTTTTAAAAGTTGTGTTGGGGCGAATGTTAAATATGTTTCTCTGGACACTGTATTAAGAAAGATGGGACAATGAGACAATAGGAAGCCCACTTGTGGCTGCTTGTTTGACTTGACCAACTGAGTGAACAGAAAATATACAAGTGACATATTTCCTAGGCTTTGTTTCTTGGAATCTAATTGGCATTATTTGATTTGGCATAGTTTAGATGTCCAGAACAAGAGACATTGGCTACTTGGCACTGGAGAAACCTACTACTGTCTTTAATTTTAACAAAGTTCTAAATATGAAAGGTAGTATTAACTTGGAAGGTAGCTGACCAGTCACAGACATCTATGTATTAAAATTGTGATATTAGAGTTATACTTCTTGATGAGGCTTTTTTGTTTTTTGTTTGTTTTTGATACAGAGTCTCACTTTGTTGCCCAGGCTAGATTGAGTGCCGTGGAGTCAGCCTAGCTCACAGCAACCTCAAACTCCTGGGCTCAAGCAATTCTTCTGCCTCAGCCTCCCAAGTAGCTGGGACTACAGGCATGTGCCACCATGCCCGGCTAATTTTTTCTATCTATATTTGTTGGCTAATTAATTTCTTTATAGTAGAGATGGGTCTTGCTCTTGCTCAGGCTGGTTTCGAACTCCTGACCTTGAGCAATCCTCCCGCCTCCGCCTACCAGAGAGCTAGGATTACAGGCGTGAGCCACCGCACCAGGCCTGTTTTGTTTTTTTGAGATAGGGTCTTGCTCTGTCATCCAGTCAGGAGTGCAATGGTGCAGTCATAATACAGTCTCAAACCTCTGTGCTCAAGCAGTCCTACCTCAGCTTCCCAAGTGGCTAGAACTACAGGCACATGCCATCATGCACAGCTCAAAGCGCTGGGATTACAGGCTGGAGCCACCCGCTCTTTTGCTTTTTTCTTTTCCTTTTTTGAGACAAAGTCTCTCTCTCTTGCTCTGGCTAGAGTACCGTGGTGTCAGCCTAGCTCACAGCAACCTCAAACTTCTGGGCTCAAGCAATCCTTTTGCCTCAGCCTACCAAGTAGCTGGGACTACAGGCATGTGCCACCATGCCCAGCTAATTTTTTCTATGTTTGGTAGAGAAGGGGTCTCGGTCTTGCTCAGGCTGGTCTCAAACTCCTGAGCTCAAATGATCTACCTGCCTCAGCCTACCAGAGTGCTAGGATTACAGGCGTGAGCCACCACGCCTGGCCTCATGCGCGGCCTTTTTTGAAAAATACTGTATCAGGTAAAAAATTCTTAATTCTATGAACCCCAATTTACTTGTGAAGTTTTGTGTGATTATTTTAAAATTCCGGAGATCCCTTGTATACTTCACATTTTATAATGAGAAATCAGTTTTGGTGAACAGTAACTGAACGTAACTGATAATAGACAACAAAGACTACTGTCCTTTATTTCTGATAGACACTGTATGTGGTAATCAAAATCATTAATGATTTCATTGCTCTCAATGTTAGCTTTTACATATGATTTGATATAATTGTACTTTTTCTGAGAAGTTGGTAAACAATGTGCCTCACACATTAAACTTAGAAAAGAAACTGGGAATAAAAGCTCTGATTAAAAGCCTCTGCTATAAATAGAATACTGGAATTATTCCATCACTCAACAAACAGGAATAGGGTATATCTTAAAGATGAAGAAATGATGTAGTTTGTAAGCATAATCAATAAGTATTCCCAAGTGTACATAGCTTTGTTTCATTTGCAGCAAAGATAACACTGAAAGGTCTATTGATGAGATTCTTGAATAAGCTTTTTAGAAGCACTGTTCTCAAGATAAGCAAGTGATTAAGAGCACTGACTAGATCCAGACTGCTTGAGTCCAAGTGTCAGATCCCTGCTTACTAGTTCTGGTATCTCATACATGACATTGAATTTTTCTATGCCTCTGAGGCCTCATCTGTGAAAACAGCAATACCCATCTTCAATAGTTATGAAATTGAGTTGCCTCGAATCTAGGAGAACACAATGATAAAGGGGAAAAAAATTTCTTTTTCTTTGGAGAGCAGTCTCGCTTGTTGCCCAGGCTAGATGAGTGCCGTGGTCAGCCTAGCTCACAGCAACCTCAAACTCCTGGCTCAAGCAATCCTTCTGCCTCAGCCTCCAAGGCTGGGACTACAGCATGCACTACCATCGCCTGGCCTGAT